TTTTGCGGCCGGAGCTGGTTGTAACCCAAAAAGTTCGTTAGTAGAGGCGTTCGTATCCCGAGGTACCACTGTATAAACAAATTTAGTAACTCTTCACCCCCTATAAGGTTACAAACAGATATCTCTTCATCCCATATCCCATCCTTTATCCATAACAAATCCATAAAACATCAACTTTTCAATCCTGGTGTCAGCAAAAAAATCCATAAAGAGTTACCAGAACTTTGCAGAAAACATCCTATTTTAACCTTGATCAAATGAACCAACTTTATATTCCTTCCTTTTACTTCTAACAATCTTAACCTTTAATTCAATTTAAAAAAACTTCCTAAAATTCTTAAAATTCTGATTTCTTACCCACTACCTCCAATACTGCATGCTTTGAACCTTGTAGATTTCCCACTTTCCAGAAAGCATTCAGTTACTGAGATGAGAATACCATGGCAGGCAGGGGGATGTTTAAACTTCAGTCTATGCCTCCTTAGAATCAGATTGTTAACATAGGTGTAGGGAGATAACAGGCTGCTTCTGGGAAAGCCAGGGCCAGGCGTTTTTGTTCATTGTATAAGACCACTAATTATTTAAATTTATTTTATTTTTGGATTAAAATCACATGTAATAAAAATGGAATTCAAGAGTTTGCTCTGCCCTACCACACTTTTGATAGATGAAAGCTATTCAGAGCTGTGTCTGATTTTCCTTTGTCTCTAGCATTTTGCTAATTTAAAAAGGGGATTTAGACATCCCAGAGTTTCATATGCCATCAATAGAAATAGTTTAAAATGTTTGTTTCAGGCCTTTCAGACTCTGTAATCATAGAATGATAGAGTTGGCAAAGACATCAAATATATTAATCACCTGCTCCATGCAGGTTCTGCTAAAGCATCAAATCATTTCTTGAGAGGTCTAGCTCTTTTTTTCTACTCGTATTGGTAAAACCTGTTCCCCTGAAACTTCAGTGAAAGACAAATAGTTATTGTAAAGTTTGAGCTTATTAATTACTGACAACTCCTCCCCCAGTCTTTCAAACGATTAAAAAAGGCTTGGGCCCAAATATTTTATCCCCAAATATGAGCTGCAAGTTCTTATCTAAACTTCCAGCACAGTATTCATGTGGGCATGTCTGTGACATTAAAAAGAGAGAGAGAGAGAGAGAGAGAGACTATGTTGTTATCTACTGGAAAAATGGCCAAGCCAGTTCAGTATGTGAATTGCTTCTTGAATTGCTTCTGAGTTGCTCAGATCACAAAAATAAGCGGTAATCTCCACAATGCTGCAGACAAAAAGCATACAGTTAGGATTCCTAGATACCTCAAAGGGCACACAGCAAAACAAAATGCATGCAAAAGAAACCTTCACCTCCTGAGAACACATGCCATCACTTTGTGGTTCTAGTTGCTTTTACTCAGCTGAAGCAGTAGCTCCCTTCCATGGCCAGTCATGAAAATGAACTCCAAATTCCACTTATTTCAGCCCTTGAAAAGGGCTGCATTTGTCATTAATGGTGGCTTCTTGGAGAAGTTATAGAGAGCCCCTCATGATTACTGATCACCTAAAACTGGTTCACGCTGATTTCTTATCATCTGGTGACTCATGACTGACTAAAAGCTTTGCATTTAGAGGTAGGGCACACTATTTGAAAGTTCTAATTGCAGTAGCTCATGTATTCACAGCTGTCCGTTACATCTCTGAGAACCCAGATATGGAAGCTTTTCTCTTACGAGACCTACTGTCCTTCAGCAGTCCAGGTGCCAATGGCAGACCCGCATCAACTAATGGTAGGTGAGTCCAAAACCAGCATGGTAAAAAGTAGGTAGAATTCGAAAACAATGCAAAGAGTTGCATGAAACTAGGCAGAGGGTTGTGAGAAATTTCATATAAGAAGCTTTTCTTCACCTCCCGAGAACACGGCTATCACAGAAACCTATATTTATGCTTATAGGCTCAATAACATGTTTAACTGCCCTGAAATATATAATATCATAAGGAGGAAACTGCTTCTCCATAGTGGCATGTTGTGAAGACTTTTCCACTTCACAGAGCCAACCACAGGAGGGCCAAACATGTCTAGTTGATATGGAAGGCAGTCTGGAAGGCAGCTCAGAGAGAACTCTGAATCTCAAACAAGTTTTTATTTTTTATTGGAAAAAAGTCAGTGACCTCCGATTTAGTTGCAGTCAGTGAAAGCCTTTATGATTTGAAACAGTTGGTGAGAGCTTTGAACAGTAAGTACCACTGAATAGGAAGTGCAGGTAGAGAATAGTTTTAAATCACTGTTCTGCTGTGAAACAAAATGTGCACATTTGCAGAGCACATATCCTTTCTTTTCTTTTTTCTTTTAGAAAATGGCTTGCCTTCCCTCAGGAGATTGTGAGACTGTCAAGGGAAGCTTACCTATGACTATAAGACATTGGGTTTGGTTCATATTAGTGATAAGGAGCTTTGCTTTAGTGGAAAAAGCTATAAGTAGTAAAATTACTGCAAAATAGCATTAGCTAGCAGGAAGCAAATGTTTGGAACATCAGTTGGCAACTTACTCCAGCTATCACCATCCTGTCTTGCAATGTATGGAGGGTAATGATGCAGTTTTATTTCGCTGCTAACATCTTAAAACGACTGGCTAAATTTCATGACTATCTGGTACAGTCCGTGCCCTGTTGACCAAACCATTTGATGCCAAACATGGAAACTCAAGGCAGATGAAGTTATGATTGTGCTGTGAGAGATTTTCACAAATATCTGTGAGACACAATAATCAGCCCATTGAGAGAGAGTTGTAATAAGGCAAATTTCTAATTAATATTGCAGAGATGTTCAGGTAACATGTTGGTGAGTAGGGAATGTTTAAGTCACTCTATGGGTTATATATAATGGTATATGTCCATACCTGTGAAGAAACAAATTGCTTAATAATGTTACTGCTCTGAAGAAAAACAAGTTATTTAGGGGTTGGAAGAAGGGTGACAGATATTTTCATTGCATGCTCCATTATGCCACATTTTTCTACACTGATTTTCTACTATGATGGAAAAGACAGTATATAAGTGTTGATGAAAGTCCTTTTCTCTCTGGATGTATCAGAGAAGTGATTATTGAGAACTAATACATTCTTGTATAAAAGAAGGTATTTGGTAAACTGATCTCTGATAGAATTGTAGTTATTTTCTTAGAATACTTCCTTAACAAAGAAAATTGAAAACTGGAATAACGGTATATATTGTGTACAAAATCCTGATCAATAGGAGATTCTTTTTTTACATTTAACATATTATAAGTTACGCATGCAGGAACTAGACTCATTAATACAGTGAGCTTGGAGGAACCAATTTGTTTTAGAAGTACCAAAACATTTAAAGGGGGAGATCATACAAAGGTTGGGGAGAACACTATTGGAATGGAATCATGGAATGCTGACTGCTTGGGAAAAGGACTAGGATTAGGGCTAGGCTAGGATTCTCAAAAACAAGAAAAGGCGTAGAAGAAGCTCACTGATTGCCTAGGTAGAACACTGATGAACAATGGTGTTCATGCTTACCCTTTTTAAGAACCCGTTTATCTAACCTAATATTAAGATTGTTACAATTAATATACTGTACATTAAAAAAATGTTTCTTTCCCCCCATAATCTTCTGTTCACTATCCAACCTGAAGAAAAGGTCTGATAAACATTTCATGCCACATTTGGGGAGGGGGGGGCTAAGGAGGAGTTTCGCACATATCACTTTGGCCATTGTAGAGTCATCAACACCATCTGCAGGGACGCTAAAAGGATATAAAAGCATAGAGATCGGTGGTAGGACACTAAAGAAATAATGTTATGGGAATTGATCCTTCAAATACTTCTCCAACCAGGGGCTGGGAGAAAAGCCATGGCAACCATGAATAGGTGCATTCTTGCAGAATACAAACATTTGTAGCATATTTATATATCAAATGAAATAAAACAATTATTCATTGGAAATACATTACAAAGGATCCAAAGCAGGATGAGGAATGAATAAAAAATATTGTCCCTTGTTATCTTACCTAGGGCTGTTCTTGCTGGTGTGGCATCTTTTTTAATCCAAAATGATACCCAGGATAGGACAACAGTTAATATACAGGGAATGTATGTTTGAATAGTGAAGTATCCCATTCTTCTACTTAAATCGAAGTATATAGTCATGACTATATAATCACCTGCAACAATAAAAATTGATTTAATTGGATGACCAGCTTGCATTATCTCATTCACAATTCAATGGGAAACTTAGTTTAATGCAAATAAATAATATTTCCACAAGTACCTGCAGGGTTAACAACTCTAAGCCTCAGCATTGTTTGATTACAGAATGCCTTTATATCTTGGATGGCAAGATCAAATGGTCTGGAGGACCAAGTGTCCTTCAAAATGACATGGACATTTTGATACAGTTTTCTTGGCAACAATGTGGAAGTGGTTAATCAGCCCTGGGATTTCCTGGTTACTTCCCAGACAACTGCTAAGCAAGTCTGCTCTTCTTAGCTTTGTTAAGAATTTCCAGATTCATTCTCAATGAACTACATGGTGGAATTAGTTTATTTCCTTACAAAGCTGAAAAATGAGAAAAGCTCCCCAAGCCTACTCTGTGTCATGGTGGTATGGAGAAAATAGTACACACAAGGACAGTGATGTAATTGATGGGCAGCAACATCACACAACTACTGTCTCTGCATTGAATTCACCAGGAGTTATGCTGTTTTTACAGACATAGCTGTCTCATTGATTGATTGATTGATCAATCAATTGATTGATTGATTGCAGGACTACAAATTTTGTAACTGGATAGAATATACATTAGATCAAGTAAAATGCAAGTGCTGGGTTCATAAAGATAATCCTGTCTCATTGATTGATTGATTGATCAATCAATTGATTGATCAATCAATTGATTGATTGATTGCAGGACTACAAATTTTGTAACTGGATAGAATATACATTAGATCAAGTAAAATGCAAGTGCTGGGTTCATAAAGATAATCAAAAATGGGCGGGGTGGTGGTGGTGGTAGGTAGATCCTATAAGAATTTCAAATAGCTGTTTAAATTAAGAGCCATAGATTTAGCAAGTATGGGAGAATAAGCAAAGGCAAAGAGTTGAGAGTGAACATCAAGGGTGGGAAATGTTGATATTTCTTTTGCCATTTGGTGCAGTTAGTCTATATAGTAAATAGGATCTTGCAGGATGAATACAGAAAGGCCATGGAGTCACCAATAAATTGCTGTAACCAGCTTGTGCAGAATGAACCTGTCACTCATGCCTATTCTGAATTGGAGATCATTCTAGCTGTACCAGAAACCTCCTACTTGAAAGATATATTAGCTGCATTGAGAAGTTCATGTCTAAGTATGGTTGCTTGATCTTTGTTCATTTTGGATGGTATCAAAGTTAGCAAAATAGGGAATGTGAAAAAGAAAATGTTTCATTTACATTAATTAGGTAGCCATTTATAAGTCCACTGATTATGAAAGCAGATTTAGCCATCACTAATGAAATATCAGCTTTGGTTCTGCTCCTTCAGGAGATCAACTTCAGGCATTTACTGAATAAGCAGGTTGCTTAGATCCATTTAATATTGAATTTAGGACTTGTTCTGTGACAGAGATCTCTCTGGTGAAATACTTCTTCTGTGGAAGCATAAATGAATGTGTTTTTGCTAATTCTCTTTGATTTCTCAAGGAGATTTTCTTCAGAATTATCTCTATGGATTCTGTGAAAAGCTTTATATAGAAATGTATAAGAGTTTCCCCTTCATACGAAAAAAGCATCCTGCAGTGTTTCTCTGTTGTAGTAGTAGTAGTTTTTTTTAATATTGACATGAAATATCCAGGTCAGTAGTGCCCTTCAGATATTTCAAAGCATCCAGCAATATGGCCAAAAACAAGGGATTATGGAAGTTGTGGTTCAAAACTCAAAAATCTGTTCCATTCATATAATTGGAGGAAATCTCTAGTATTTATGAGTCATTGTCCCCATTAAGAGTCCAGTTCACCACACAGGCAGAGTCCTGGATTCAATATGGATTGGTTCTAAGTGTTTTTTTAATCAGCATTAGTTGATTCATCAACTGTGCTTGCTAGTGGAAGTTATTTTATGTGGGTGTGACTCATAAAATAGCCTCAAAACTTGAACTGGTTCAAAAATTCCTCTGCTCATCCCCTGCTGATAGTACTATCCTTGGTGAAAAACATAATACCTGCTTTGAAATATCCACAATTTCAGTATTTTTTTTTACACTAGATTCCATACAGAACTCAAAACCTACAGAATATGACTTCTGCTTCTGAGTTTGTAGACTTGAGCTGAGACTTGAATTGTTTGAATTTTCAATTGTTATTATTCATCTTGTAAACCGCCCTGGGAATTCTTATGGCAGAAAGATGATTTATAACTATAGCAAGAAAAAAAATGTTGTAACTACTATTGCCTATTTTGGAATTATCACATAAGAAGAAGCATGATAAGGAATCACAGTTAAAGGTATAATTTCCTTGCCAGCAGGTAGCTGGATTGATTTGGAGAGGATTCTGAAGTAACAATTGTATTCAAGGCTATATTCCTTATTCCTCTCATTTCATGTTACAAGTATATTCTCCTTCTGTTCAGCCTTTATCTACATAAATGCTTCTTTCATTCTGTTTGTTCAAGGGGATGCAATTTTCATACCCATGTGTTCTTGGGACTGCTTCCCATTTAACTGCAATTCAAACTGACGCAAAAGTTCATTATGGCTCTAGCAACAAATCAGCACAGAAAAAAACTAACCAAAGAAAACAATCTTTCTTGTGGGGGAGGGGAACCCAACCTCTCTGGCTGAGCCAACATTTCTTTGTAATTCCTCTTTGGACAAGGGGAGGATTTGAGATCACCCACAGCGCTCCATACAGTTGGTCCTCGTGAGGAGACTGCAAGACAGCAGTCTCCAGCAGGTTTAGAGCTCTGGGAGATGAGGGAATAGCCATCTTGCTCAAACCACAAAAGGACGCTGGGTTTGCATACTTTTCTAATCACTTTTGGAAATCACTTGTCAACTGCTTTTCAGCTATAAGGAACCTCCTGACTGACAGGTTTTACAGCACCAGGTGAATTTTCTTAATCCTTAGTGAAAAAAAGTTTTAAATACAAGTTTAAGGACTTAATTTTTTTTCTTTTGCAATAAACAGCAAAAGGGTGATTAGAACTTTGAATTTGGAAAGTTACAAATAGACTAAGGGTCCAGATGGATTTGAAATAAGATTTTGGAATTAATTATAAGAATCCTTCCCATGGGAAAATGCTTTTGTTATGAATTCTCTTTTTAAAAACATGATAGGATGAGACTTTGAAGGTTGGACACTAGAGGGAACCAGAAGGAACTAAAGATTACAATAAAAACATGATAGGATGAGACTTTGAAGGTTGGACACTAGAGGGAACCAGAAGGAACTAAAGATTACAATTAAAGAAGAAGAAGACTTAAATTTGACTTACTAATACAGAATGGAGCAAAATAATTTAACATTGGACTTATTGAAGAATATTTTTGAACAATGGACCTATAAATTAATTTTAAGAGTGTTTGCCTCTATAGATAAACTGTGTTTAAAAGATGTTATGAAAGAGGAACAAGTTTTACCTGACAAGACTGAGACTGATCTGAAAGTGGATTTTAAAAAGACAGGCTACAAGAGTGATATCGAAAAAGATTATACATTGGACATACAAAAGAAACTGGCTGATGTCTTAATAATTAAAAGGGATATTCATATAACAAACCAAGAGAGTAACCTGGATAATAATCTTCAAAATCCTTTGAAGAATTTTGTGAAAAGGGACAAAGAAAAAAATGAAAAGAAATCAAGTTCTAGGACATTATTTGAAGGGACTAAAGATCAGGATTGTTAAAAGTAAAAGGAAGGAATATAAAATTGATTTATTTGATCAAGGTATGTTGTTATCTCTGGCAACTCTTAATGGACTTTTGCTGATCAGGACTGAAATGATGAGGCTTTAAGGATTTATTTATAAAAAAAAGTTGGGATATGGGAAGAAGAGATCATTTGTTGTATTTTAAAAGAAGGTGATACGTTACTAATTTTTTTTATACTTGTGATGAAGGGTGAAGTCATTTCTTTATATATTTCTTTTCTTTTTCTTTACTATGTTCTTATTTTTTCTTTCTTTTCTATTTTTTTATTCTTTTATTTTTTTTTAGTTTGCATTTAAATTACTATTTAAAAAAAGGACTAAACCAAGCACTAAAGTCTGGGCAACATTCTGATTCCTTAGATCAGCAGTTCTCAAAGTATGGTCTGGGGACCCCTAGAGGTCCCTGAGACCCTTCCAGGGGGTCCATAAAGTCAAATAAATAAATATTTTAAAATTTCTCAACTTTAATTTCTAATACAGTAATTATTGATTGATATAA